ATAGAAACTAGGCAAAACATTGAGTCCCGAAGAGTTTAAAACACACAGCATGTCAGAGTTGATTGATTCACAGAAGATGATTTAAGAAGAAAAACTTGACTTGAAAGATATGAAAAGTCATCAGACATGAAAAGATATGAGAATCATCAAATCAAACGATAATGCTTGAAAATTGCTTCTAATCGAAGATTATGAATGGACGTGAGCTGTTCTGTTATGCTGAATGAGTTGGAAGAGTATCTAGACTGCAGATCAAGAATTGCCGTACTGATTCGGCTTCATTCTCGTGTTGCCGAAAATATAAAGCATTTAATTTTATGATTATAGCAATTATGAGGCTTTTGAAGTAGTTAAAGTGTAATGTCGTCGTCGGCTTGCTGAAGGAGCAAAATTTAATTGCATAATAAGCAAGATTAAGCTATCGTGCAAAATTTCCTACCACAAATTTAATAATCACAACCTTCTAGCTATCTGATGTTTGCAAAAATCTTGACCTAACAATAGTTAATTTGGGTTGAAAAAAAATTTTACGCTGACGATCTTGTTATTGATCTCCATTGGTATTGGTTTCATGATCTGTTTCTTTACCTTCTAGATGATCAGTGTTTAAATTTGGCATTTATCAAAGCAAGGTGAAGATATAGAACAAAATGAGAGAAGATTTCAATAAAAACTAGGCAAAACATCGAGTCCGAAGAGGTTAAAACACACAGCATGTAAGAGTTGGTTGATTCACAGAAGATGATTTGAGAAGAAAAACTTGACTTGAAAGATATGAAAAGTCATCACACATGAAAAGATATGAGAATCATCAAATTAAACGATAATGCCTGAAAATTGCTTCTAACCGAAGATTATGAATGGACGTGAGCTGTTCTGTTATGCTGAATGAGTTGGAAGAGTATCTAGACTGTAGATCAAGAATTGCCGTACTGATTCGGCTTCATTCTCGTGTTGCCGAAAATATAAAGCATTTAATTTTATGATTATAGCAATTATGAGGTTTTTGAAGTAGTTAAAGTGTGATGTCGTCGTCGGCTTGCTGAAGGAGCAAAATTCAATTGCATAATAAGCAAGATTAAGCATCGTGCAAAATTTCCTACCACAAATTTAATAATTACAACCTTCTAGCTATCTGATGTTTGCAAAAATCTTGACCTAACAATAATTAATTTGGGTTGTAAAAAAATTTTACGCTGACGATCTTGTTGTTGATCTCCATTGGTCTTGGTTTCATGATGTGTTTCTTTACTTTGTAGATGATCAGTGTTTAAATCAGCGAGAAAGTGAGAGACTCGGCAAAACATCGAGTCCCGAAGAGTTTAAACCACACAGCATGTCAGAGTTGGTTGATTCACAAAACGTGACTTGAGAGGAAAAACTTGGCTTGAAAAATATCAAAAGTGGAGAAGTAAAGCAGGTTATAGAACATGTTCTGTCTCTTCTACGAAAGGTGGTTTCAATGGCTCGTCCTTATCCACTTCTGTGATGTAGGCTAAGCGACAGCATTAAAATTGCGGGCCTCTTATCTGACAACTGTATACCGTCTTTGAAATCTTGACAAAAAGCAAAAAAAAGCTTGAAAAGCAAAAATCTTGATCTAGCAATAATTAATTTGGGTGAAAGAAAAATCCTACGCTGACGACCGTGTTGATCTCTATTGATATTGGTTTCATGATCTGTTTCTTTATGTTGCAAAGGTTGCTTTTGAATATTATCAGGTAATAGTAAGTGTATAAAAGTCAAATAAGTGGGATGACAACTAGATTACGCAGAATACAAAACCGATTTTTTAAGCAGACGATAATTGCTAAAGGAATCTATCGCATAGATGTGGACAACCAACATTACAAAATTAGTTTCATTAACAGCAAATTTATTAACACGTTAAAATCTTCAAGCATAGATTCTGGAAGGTAAGGTTTTAAGTTTTTAAAATGGTCATCTTAAATTTAAGTTAAGTATGTTGCATATCTGGCAGTAATAACCGATAATATGAATGGTGTAAATGGTGTTACCAACCTATGCTAGCCAAATGTCGGTAGAATTAATGATAAAAGCACGGTAAGTCTAAAAATAATGTCAGAAGTTGTTTTACAATTCGTAGTTTTACAAGTTGTTAAGAATAGCACACGGGATTCTGAGCATATTACAAAAAAACTTTTAGAACAAAAGTTGTAGCAAATTTTATTCTTAACAATATTGCTCTCTTTAATGTTTGCTCTTGGATGCATAAATAAAGAGAAAAATACGAAAATATGAAAATTTGATGAATTATGTTGTTTTAAGTAGTTAATGGTGACACTCGGGAAACGGAGCGTGTTATAAAAAAACTTTAAAAACAAAATTTGTAGCAAATTTTATTCTAAACAATAACATTCTCTTTCACTTTTGCTCTTAGATGCGTCAATATTGAGAAAAATTAAAAAATAGGAAAATTTGATGAATTTGTTGCTTTTTCAAGTTATTAATGGTAACACTCGGGAATTGGTGCATTTACAAAAATGCTTTTAGAATAAAAGTTGTAGCAAACTTTTTGTTAACAATATTGCTGTAATTCACTTTTGCTCTCAGATGCATAGATTTCCAGAAATCTACGAAAATATGACAATTTGATGAATAACGTTGTTTCAAGTACCTAGCTAATGGTGACACTCGGGAAACGGAGCATGTTATAAAAAAAGTTTTGGAACAAAAGTTGTACCAAATTTCATTCTTAACAATAATACTCTGTTTCACTTTTGCTCTTAGATGCGTCAATATTGAGAAATATAAAAAAATATGAAAAATTGATGAATTTGTTGTTTTTTCAAATTATTAATGGTAACACTCGGGAATTGGCGCATTTTACAAAAAAGCTATTACAACAAAAGTTGTGGCAAATTTTCTTTTCAACAATATTGCACTAGTTCACTTTTGCTCTCAGACGTATAGATTTCCAGAAATATTCGAAAATATGACAATTTGATGAATTACGTTGTTTTAAGTAGTTAATGGTAACACTCGAGAAACGGAACATGTTATAAAAAAACTTTTAGAACAAAAGTTGTAGGATTTTTTTTTCTTAACAATATTGCTCTAGTACACTTTTGCTCTCAGACGTATAGATATCCAGGAAAATACGAAAATATGAAAATTTGATGAATTACATTGTTTTAAGTAGTTAATACTGACGCTCGGGAATTGAAACATGGTATAAAAAAGCTTTTAGAACAAAAGTTGTAGCAAATTTTATTCTTAACAATATTGCTCTCCTCCACTTTTGCTCTCAGACGCATAGCTATCCAGAAAAATATGAAAATTTGATGAATTACATAGTTTTAAGTAGTTAATGGTGAAACTTGGGAATTGAAACATGTTATAAAAAAGCTTTAAAAACAAAAGTTGTAGCAAATTTTATTCTTAACAATAATACTCTCTTTCACTTTTGCTCTTAGATGCGTCAATATAGAGAAAAATAAAAAAAATATGAAAGATTGATGAATTTGTTGCTTTTTCAAACTATTAATGGTAACATTCTATAATTGGGGCATTTTACAAAAAAGCTTTTAGAACAAAAGTTGTGGCAAATTTTATTCTTAACAATATTGCTCTAGTACACTTTTGCTCTCAGACGCATAGATAGCCAGGAAAATACGAAAATATGAAAATTTGATGAATTACATTGTTTTAAGTAGTTAATAGTGACACTCGGGAATTGAAACATGGTATAAAAAAGCTTTTAGAACAAAAGTTGTAGCAAATTTTATTCTTAACAATATTGCTCTAATACACTTTTGCTCTCAGACGCATAGATAGCCAGGAAAATACGAAAATATGAAAATTTGATGAATTTCTTGGATTTTCAAGTTATTGATGGTAAAATTCAGAAATTGGCGCATTTTCCAAAAGCTTTTAGAACAAAAGTTGTAGCAAATCTTTTCCTTAACAATATTGCTCTCTTGTACTTTTCTTCTCAGATGCATAGATATCGAGAAAAATATTAAAATATGAAAATTCGATGAATACAATAATCGATTGTGGATTTAGTGTATTTTTTTTTTATTTTAAAATATAATTGCAATAAAATTTTATTTATATATTCTCCGATTCGTTATAAAAGAGCACAAAAAGCTTACGTATTTGCTTTAAATAAATCCCAGAACAAAAAAAAACTTCACAACCAGATATTAATTCAAATATTTCATGTTGCTCTTCATACCTTTCGAAATATTCATATTAAAACAACTCGTAGTTGAAAAAAAACCCGATTATTTCCCTTCAATAACAAAAAAAAATACAATGTTCATTTCCATTTGGACCGAACAAATGTAGAATCGCCACGAATTCTTCGTCCAAACGAACAAAATCCAATTTACAAGCACCGCGTGGTCGTCGCAAAATCGTCCAGCTCTTCGGGTATGTAACCAAATATGCATCCCGGGGAAAAAATTCAATTACACTTTTACGAAAAGGGAAGAGGAAAAGGGAGAATTCAAAAACCATGTTCAACAGCTCGTTCTGATTTGTATTTACACCTGTGTGGAGAACGTGTATATTTTTTATTTTTACATATTTCTCGAATGACGTCGAAAAAATCGATTTACGCAAGCTTTCACTTTCTTTTGGCACAGTACCATTTAGTACAGTTTTTATCTTTTTAACGCTACAATTTTTTGTTTGATATTGATACTACCAAAAAGGGACAACATTAATTATTACTTTTTTACAACATTTACAGAGATGATTTTGATTTTGTTCATAATTAAAAAACATTTTGCACACAAGATAAGCTAAATTAAACAAAGATTTCTCAAAAAATCAGTTGTGATATGTTAATTTTAGTTAAAAAACTTCTTTTACTAAGCTTCTTTTATTTATTTACTTATTTACATTTTTTATCACAGTTGATTTTTTTTTGCTTTAACTCTAAATAGTTGGCCAAATGATTTAGTTCGTGAATAATTTATTTGAAATAAGTAAGAAGAAAAAGAATTTAACATCTTTTCAAACTCAACATAAAAGGAAAAAAAATTAAAGGAGAGAAATCTTCTAGACCCAGAGTTGGATTTAAAATAATAGACGTTGGAGCGTCTAAAATTTGACAGAACTACGTCGACGCGCCACCGGGCTTCTTCTGTGGGGCCATTTTTCTGGTGCCGAAATTGCATTTCACAAGGCGAACCGTTCATATCCGGAAACGTCACGCTTTTCGCGAGTCCTTTCAATCATTTCCTTCCTTCCTCCCTTTTCCTGCTGTTCCCCATTTTAGCGGCGTCACCTGAGATCCGCACAGAACGATGCCGCAACGACGAAGACGCCCGATATAAGGAAAACCGACGCCTTGAGGCGTCGTCCGCAGGCGTACGCCGTCGCCCTTTGACCTCGTGCCGGTTCCGCCAAACCTGCAAAACCCATTAGTTGATTACAACCGGAGGAAATCTTACTTGTGTCTTTCTTTTTAGTTTGTTGAAGTGTGTTTTTACGGTTTCTGGGGTGTTGTTTTTGATTGGATGTTGAATTTTGTGGATAAGACATGATTTGTTTTGGAAGGGGGATGAAAACTTTATTATGTTCTATTAAAAACGAGGTTATTTACTAAATTGACGCCATAAAGAGCGTCTGGTAGAGGCGTCGTATTCATTTATTTGGCAATACTTTGTCTGATCTTGGCCATACTGTAAGAACATAGTGAGGATTTAGATTAAAATGGAATTTATTCTTACCAAGTAGGATATTGCTCTCTACTTAATTCATTTACTTGTCAAAATTGCAAGATATGCAATAAAAAATTATCATGTGAGAGTCTTTATGCTATACAATCAGCGTTGCCAATTTATGCCGGTCAAGTATTAGTAGTCAGAAATCGGTATGTTTAAATATAGTCAGAAAATATTGTTTGATATAGGTTTACAAATGAATTTATATAGGGTAAACGCACCAGTGTTTGACCTGTTAAGGATTTTTAATGTCAGTGTTTGACCGAGCCATATGATCAAATACATATCTGATTCATTTAAACTTACTTACCCTACATATAAAATATAACATCATGAAGTAATATTTTTTACAAATTAAAAAGGAAACCAGTATTTCGCATTTAGTGTTTGACCACTTTGATTACATTCCTTGACCAATAATATCTAGTCTTTGACCTTAAAACCGTAAATGTTTGACCGATTCTTAATATAATATTCATTTTCATTATTTTTCCATACTATTTTGTTCACAAAAAAATGTTTATATTTTTTGACTCTTTAAGAAAATCTTTTAAAACAGGAGCAAAATGTTCTTGACTTAACTTTTCACCCAAATTTTGTATTTTCCAACTGGGTGTTTGCAACAGGAAAACCCCTATCTGCTGAATGAAACAATCATTCAACCAGTAGTTTTTCTTCATCAGAATTAAAAAATGCTGATGGGTCCATTTTCCTCTGCATTGGTGTTTTTCCTTTTTCTTTATAAATAACAGTTGACTTTGGTACATTAAACATCTCGGCTGCTTTTTCATAAGGTAAACCCCCTACTTCATGCATCGACTGCCTTTTGAAGATCTTCTTCACTATATTTAAACTTAGGCTTCGTTGTCATATTGGTACTGAAAAAAGTTAACCTGATGCATATTTGCTAAATTTTCCTTATAGATTTTTCATTTTTTGATAATTGACCACTATAAGAGTCAGTGTTTCACCAACCTTTTATCCTCTTAATTGTACAGATTGATTACTGCTTCAGTGTGTTCAATTACTTTTATTGTTATAAAAAAGGTTTAAAAAAAATAGAAAAGAACCAAACATTTACATTTATATTTATATTAGGCTTAAATATTTATAAAAATTTAAAATCGGTTAAAAAACTCAGTGTTTGTGTCCTATAAATGACCAAAAGAAGAATCAGTGATTGACCGCATATTTAAACTGATTGTATCTTACTTTTAAAGTATAAAAGTTTTAGTCAAATACTAAACTATTTAAACGGAAAGACACAAGTTTTAAAAACAGGTATTACACATTTTTCCATTGTATTAATCAAATATAAGTACTTGTGAGATTATAAAACAACCAATTCGTCTAGTATTTGACCGTTTGGTCAAACACTAATTTTTAATTAAATTTAGAACTACTAGTCTTTGGCCGGCTTTATTTTAACAAATAATTAATTAAAGCGGTAATTTTTTAATATAACCAATAGAAAACATTAATAGATCACTGGCAAACAAAAAAAATACACTATACACGCAAAAACGGCTGAATAGTACTACCTTGTTTGGCGTATAAATTACCATTTTTAGCACGATGTAAATAGGCTCGCAGTTAGCGCGAAATTAAACAACAAGAACTCAAGAACGGTATGGTTGTGGACTTTTTGCTTAGTAGGGGATGGAGAAGAGACTGGTGGCTATTCATAGATAGATTTCTATTTTTTAGATATTCCTTGGATCCTTATTTTTTACATTTTTTTACAAAAACGGTCAAACACTGACCAACGGTCAATTACTGGCGTTTTACCCTACACGGTATTAAAAAGAGAATGTAAAATATTTAAAGAGGTAATAGTATCAACCAAAATAAACAAAGAACTCTTAATAAACATGTGACCACAAATCGTCATTAATATCACAAGCTAACATATCTCAATTTTACCAATTTTACAGGAGAGCAGTTTAAAGTTTTAGACAATCTTTGAAGTTGCAGTGTGTATTACTGTGAGGTATATATTTTTCAAAAATGCTGTAGGAGTGTAATTTACAGTTTAATTAGATACGACCGTTTGTGAGAATAATATTTTTTAGAAATCAGTAGATACGTTTATTTATTATAACATAAACACGGCCTTTGTATATAAAAAAGAATGGTATCTACTGACAGACACTATATCTTTTCTAAGATAATTAGTACAAAACATACCAATCAGAAATAAAACTCATTTTCTTAAAAGTACACAAAAATAAATAAATAAACATTCTTACAAAACGAAACTACTGTCTCAGAAACTGTTTTAATGGGGTAATGAGGCATAAAAATTTTGGTGTTCAGGTAATCTGTTTAACGTAATATTGCCAGACTACATTGACTGTAAATCTGAAAATTTCTCCTGGGAAATTTTGTTTGGAGAAAAATTCAGCTACCCTGGAGATAGTGTCATTGAATCGATTGTAAGACGTTTTAAAGACAGAGCTTTGTATCCTGTCTCCAAGTGACTGGTTTTTAAAAACAGCTTATGTGGCCATTGTAATTGCTACAATGGCGATTGAATGCGCGGTGTGTTTTAAAAACATCAGTAGACAAGACGACTACATAGCATGTAGAGACAAGTGTATGAAAAAGTGAAGAGAAATTCAGGGAAATTAAGGAAAATGGATAAGATCCTGGACCTGTAATTCATGTGAAATAAACCTAACTCCAAAAACTTTCTTGATGGATGAGTAGGACATTGAAAACCAAATTTTCGATAGAACAAGCAAATTAAAGAAACATATGACAGAAAAGATAATCGAGTCATTTAAGAGTGAGATATCACAATTGAAAAACGAAAATAAAATTTTAATCAATGAATTGAACATGATAAAACTGGAAATAAAACAGAAAACTTCTCCAAAATTTATTGAGAATCCAACAGAGGTCGTACCTCCAAAAATAATATCGAAGAATGAAACAAACTTGAATGCACCACCACGTGCCACAAAAAAACAAACACCTGTTTCGTTCAAAACAGAGCATTGATCTCGAAAAACCAGAGGTAGTCGAAAATAAAACCAATAACAAAAATATTAAGGAAAAATACTCAGTTATAGCGGCAAAAAAATCGGAAATAAAGGAAACTGGAAAATCCACCTCAAAAATATACAGATTTTGTCGCAGTAACTCGAAAGAAGAGACAGTGGTCTTTAAATACGATTAGGGGTATAGCTACAGGCACACTATTAAAAGGAATTATACAGTATGCTCATTTGCACGTCTGTGGTTTACAACCGACCACAACAGAGAAAGAAATCGTGGAATATTTACGAGGAAAAAATATTAATAATATAAAATGCGAAAAAATTACAGCTAAAAGACCGGATGAATATGCCTCTTTTAAAATTTCAGTGCCAAATGATTACCTAGAGAAAACAAAACAACCCGAATTATGGCCATCTGGAGTATGAGTAAATCGTTTTTTAGAAAGAATCTACAAGAAGAGACTTTACTATTACTCAAAATGAGAAAAGAAAAACGCATACAATAAGCTACAAAAAACCAAAACAATTGCAAATAATAAACATTAACATACAAGGATTTTCACAAAAAAGAAACCAACTAGCATACCTACTAGCTAACGAAATACGCGATACAGATATAATCAGTATAACTGAACACTGGGAGAAAGCAGAAGAGATAACAAAAGTAAATTTACCTAATTATAACGTGGCTGCGTATAGTTGCAGAAAAACACACCTAAGGGGAGGAGTACTAATAGTTGCAAATAACAGATATAAAACAGAAACAATAAACGTAGAGAAATACAATATCGAAAAATGCTTAGAAGTTTGTTCGATTGTTATTTCACAAGTAAACTCAGTTTTTGTATCACTTTATCGCTCGCCTGGAGGTAACATGGAACAGTTCATGATAGTATTAGAAGAAGTAATGCATTATACAGGGTGTATCTGAATGACGTGCCCAAACTTCAGGGTGTGATTCTTTAGGCAATTTTAAGGGTACTTTCTCATATAAACTATCAGCGATTTCGACTGCCCTGCGGATTTACGCCCCTTCAAAAATGGCGAAAAATTTTGGTTTATTTTTTTTTCCCGAAAACCATTAACACCAAGAAAATGAAATTTGGGAAATATGTTTAGCTTATAATAGGGCATGTTTCGAGCCTATTTGTACTTTCAATCTTCTCTTCTAAGTTACTAAACATAACCACCCCCATTCAATTTTTGTCTACATCTTTTTTATGACGATGATAAATACATTGGAAATATTTTATTTAGATAGACGAAAATATTCTAATACTTTTTTGCCTCTCTGATGTTCTTCGAAAAGTTAATAGTTTCTGAGAAAAAAATTAATTAAGCAAACACTAACTGTTAAGCTGTAGCGTTGTTAATCGAAAGTTGGAATGAATTTTTAAAGAAAAAATCTTAGCAGGCTTAGCAATCTTTGTCAGAAATATTTTTGACGTTTCAATGTCAGTGGTTTTCTTACTATTATTATTGTTTTATTTAAAATTTTGAAACGTCGAGCGTAAATGCGGTAGAACTTTATTCATAAATTAATTTGAAAAACAATAATAATAGTAAGAAAACCACTGACATTTAAACGTCAAAAATATTTCTGACAAAGATTGCAAAGCCTACTAAGATTTTTTCATTAAAAATTCATTCCAACTTTTGATCGACAACCCCGTTATTGAACGGGCAGTGTTTACTTTATTATTTTTTTTCTCAAAAATTAGTAGTTTTTGGAAAAATTTTAGAGAGAAAAAAGTTTTAGGATACTTTCATCTACCTATGTAATTTTTGTTTAATGTATTTACCCTCTGCATAAAAAAATTTTAGCAAAAATGTAAAGGGGGTGGTTACGTTTAGTAGTTTAGAAGGATAGGTTGAAAGTACAAATAGGGTGAAAACGTGCCTTACTACCAGTTAAACATATACCCAAAATTTCGTTGTCCTAGCGTTTATGGTTTTTGAGGAAAAAAATTAACCCAAAATTTTCTGCCATTTTTGGAGGGGTGTAGCTCCTTAGGGGAGCCCAAGTCGCCCATGGTTTATATATCAAAGTACCCTTAAAATTGCCTAAAGAATCACCCCCTGAAGTTTGGGCATGTCATTCAGATACACCTGTATAAAAGAGAAACATCCTAACAAAAAATGTTTCATTATGGGAGACTTTAACATATGTGTACATGAGAAATCGACTGCGAAAGAACAATTAATATCAATAATGTCGGAACATGGACTTCATCCCTGTTTCAATGAACCTTCTAGAGTGGAAGGAGAAAGATGCGTAGATAATGTCTTTGTAGAAAGATTTGAAGAAATAATTAATAACAAAACACTAAACATGCATCTCGGTGATCATAAAGCTCAATTACTAATTATCAATAAATCACCTGAAGGGATGTCTCGAAGAAAATCAATAAAGTATAGGATAATTAATAACCATACTGTTGAAAAATTCAAAACAAATTACAAATAGCGACTGGAGTGATGTACACGATCAAAAGAATAACGCACAAGCTACCTACACCGTTTTCCATCAAATAATTTCACGGTGCTATGAGACTGCATTTCCGGAAAAAACAACCCAAAAGATGAAAAAAAACTCAATTTTGATATGGGAAAACAAAAAACTTAAAACAATGAAAAACCAACTAGACGCAATATATACCATAATTACATTTGTCTCTAGAAGCCATTGACTTGGCCGTTGAAAGTGGCGTTCATATCGTCACTTTTCCACCGCACTGTAGTCACAGATTACAACCGTTGGACGTGTCTGTGTTTGGACCGGTGAAGTCTTATTACAAGTCTCAGTGTTCTGCTTGGCAAAAGAACAATGCAAACAAGGTAACAATCTTCTCAAAACTTGTTTTGTTTTGCCAATTTTAAACTAATTTCGTTTTAAATGTTTCTAGATATTAGAAATACGTCATATTGCTGGCCTGGCGTGTAAGGCTCTTGATCTGGCTTTGACACCTAAAGTGATCAAGTCTGGTTTTAGAGCGACCGGCATATGTCCATACGATCCAGACATTTTTTCTGATGCCGACTTTGTTCAAGCTGTTAAGCCGAATGAGGCAGAGGTTGCCGCCGAGGGGCCCATCGATGAAAAGGATCAGCGTCGAATCGTGGTTGGGCCATTAGTTGGACGTGAGGAGATCGACTTCTGTTAGCTGTCTTTTGGATGAAATTGGCCCCTTACAAGGCGCTTTACCCAAAAAATCATTAATTCGCGGCCTAAAGCCAATGAAAAGCGCGATTTTAACGTCTCCGGAAACCGTTGCTGCTTTGCATGAAAAAGCAGCAAAAAAGCGAGCTGCTTTAACGCCCATCAAAAATGCCAAACGCAAGGCAACACCTCCAGCCAAACGCAAGAAGCAGGAGACTTCTGACGAAGAAGATTTTGACATTTGTCTTATCTGTTTGGACCTTCTGCCACCAAAATTGACGAAAGCCAATTCCATCAAATGCAACAGTGGCTGTGATCGGTTTGTGCATTTGAAATGCGCCGCTATGACGAAGAGCTATTTTACATGCAAAAATTGCGAAACTGAAGAGGATTTTCTTGATGTTTTTTGCCACTAGAGGCTGTATTGATGAATGAATTTAGATATTTCATATTTTTTTGGTGATTTTTCTTCATAATTTCGCATTTGTAGTAGATTTTCCGGGGTGGCCCACAACCGGTTACAATTTTTTTTTGGCGAAAAACAAGCTGGAATAAGTTAGCTTTCCCTCAAAGCAATATTTTAAATGCACAATATATTATTTTTCCTCTATCTCTTATAGAAAAAGGAGTTCCTTTTACAAGTGTTCAATTTGGCCCACCCTGTACAATATGATTTTTTTTTTAATTTCAAATCTTAAAATTTCTGGCTTTTCTTGTGTTAGATCGATTCCCACATGTTCTTTTGTATGGATGTTCATTTTGAATAGATTTTGGGAGTGCAGTTATTGTATCTTTGTTCTTTATTATTTGGGTTGACGACGTGCCTAGTGCGATAATATGATCGAGAATATACGACGTTGCCGGCTTCCGTTTGTAATAACGTTTGTAATCATTTTTATATAACTACAGATAAACCTGCAGAGAGCCCGCAGTTTTAAAATCACAGATACAATAATACTCCAATTAAAAATGAAACAGAAATAAAAAGAATATTAAAAAGATTCTAAAATAATTTAAAACCTTTTTTTACAAATTCTATTTTCATAGTTTCCGTTTCTTGGGTTACACTACGTGATATGCAATACGATGTATTCAGCTACACTGTTATACTAAATGTGGCACTTTATGCATGACGAGGGACGTCCTTTAGTGTCGAGAGTGCTCTAATTTAGTTTGATAGACGTACAGGAGTACTATTACTTAAACAAGAGTGGTTTAAATTGATCCCATTAAACCTTCAACACAACACCATAAAGTTCCATAATCTACAATTAAACTCCCACAAATTTATCTATAACTCTTAAAACTCCTAAAATTGTCTTTTTTTCATTGAAAAAAAAAATATTTTACTTACCGCCTAATATGCTCATTCGATTTTCTCGAGCTTCTTCTGGACTGACCTTAATCTCTGTAAAACAAAAAAACTATGTTAAAAATCGAGTCGATGTGGGTGTGTGGATATTTGAACGAACATCGAGGGTGGAGTGGAAGATTGGAGGGGCGAGTGGATGGACCACGAAACCCATTTGCGGCTCTAATAGCGGCTACCATTACGAAGATTACTCCGTGTATTGTTTCATTATACTTTCTGTTTCGCGTGTGCGGCAGAATCCTATTACGCGCCTGTCCATTGTGGGTAAGAGATTAATTTGCGTTCCCGTTACCTTTGTCGCGTCAATCTAATACACGTACAACACCGAGAGTACGTGTGCCGTTTAAAGCGTTATTTCAAAGCCTTTTAAGCTCGAATCAAAATCCTACTCTGTTTCATTTATTAATTTATAATACTTAATATGATACTCCTTTTGTTATTAATATTAATTTAATGAATACACTTTGTAATAAATTTAGTCAAAGAGTTTTGATATTATAGAAATTAAATTTAAATTTTAATGGTTAAGTAGCGCCCTAACGAACAACCTTTAGGGCCTTTGCCTTATATTTTTAGACCGTTTAAAAGCAAATGTACAAGAAGAAAAGGAAGAAGGAAGGATGATGAACACCAAAATTCACTATGAATTTCAGAGATGTTGAAGATATGATTCGTACATTTTCTGGAAATGATTGAATCCTGGATTACTTATTATTGTTAGAATGGGATCCGATACAGAAGTTAATATTCGGTAAGAAGTTGTTAACAGGATTGTCAAAGTTATTCATTCAAGGAGAACAAGGGCTTACATCTTGGGAAAAGCTAAAAAATGTATTGAAGACAGAATTCTTAGGGAAAGTAAACAGCTCAGAATTACATGGTATGTTATCGAAGCGAAGAATTAGCTGATTATGAAAGAATTGGGTAATCGTGGAAAAATTGAAGATGAAGCATTGAAACATTACGTTATAAATGGATTAACAGCAACATGGACAACAGCGAAAGTTATACTTTATGGAACATCAGGATTAAGCGAGTTCCGCAATAAGTTACATTTATTTGCTACCATTAGGGAAAGTAAAAAAAATTAAAGTAAAAGACCTGTTATTTTATATTCTTCAAGACATGGAAGCTCAGGTTATTCGTACTTATCATGACGATTTAGTACATTATGGTTTTAATAAAACGTTAGAATTTATTTCTAGAACTTACTGGTTCCCAGATATGAAACAGAAAATAAAAAATTATATTGCAAATTTTATGAAATGCGTTATATATTTTTGCATAGCTTGCCGAAAGGGGATTCTCCATTTGTAACTATTAAGGCTCGTTGGAGAAATCACAACATAATTTCAAATACATCTTTGCTGTTATAGATGCTTTCACTAAATATGTAAAACTATACCCGTGTGTAAGAACTGATACAAGGGAAGTATTGAAATAGCTGACTATGATAGTAAACCTTTTAGAACAGTTTTGGACAAAGGAACATGTTTTACATCTAATGATTTTAAAAAGTTTGTGGATAAACATGAAATCGAACATGTAAAAATTGCTACTGGCATGCCTCAAGCTCGAAGTTATAAACAAATCTATTTGTCAGATATTGTCTAAAATTGTAGAGGAACCAAAAAATTGGTGTGAAATATTAACTAATGTAGAGTAGGTCTACAGGTGAAACTCCAAGTATGTTATTATTTGGTATACATCAAAGAGGAATAGTGCTTGATATTGTGTTAGAAAGTAAAAATATTCATGAGAGACATTTGAATCAAATTAGGAACAAGGCATCTCAGAATATTGAGAAAAATCAAGAATACAATAAAACTTACTATGATAAACATCATAAGATACCACATATTCACAAGTTCACAAATATCGATGTTACACCTGGCATAAATAAGGAATTGCTTCCTAAATACAAAGGTCCCTATGTAATCAAACAAATACTTGATAACGATCGATATCTGGTAATAGACGTTAAGGGTTTTCAAATTACACAGAAACCGTATGAAGGAATTGTATCTGTTATATTCTGTATCTGTTTTAAAATCACCGAAAACAAGAAGGATTGAAACATTTTAATTCTTTAACCAGTGACATCTACACTTGTTATTAAAATACAATTTTGAGTATTTTTTTAGATTCCTAGATATATTTTAAGTAAGAAAAGTACTCTTAGTTAAAAGTTCTAACTCTAACCGTTTTGGAGATAACAAAGATTTATGCTAAAAACACTAAACTCCAAAAAATTTGAGTATATCTTCATTCAGCAACCTATAACATCTACGCTACTCACACAATAATAATTTTGAATACATTTTTGAACTCCTTGATGTATTTTGCGGAGAAAAGGTGTTCTTAGTGAAAGCTGTAAGAGCAACCGTTCTCAAGATAAAAAAGATTTTGTTTTAATATCACTGAAAACTAGAAGAATTGGAACATCTTCATTCTTTAACCAGTGACATCTACACTAGTGATTAAAATACAATTTTAAGTATTTTTTTAGATTCCTAGATATATTTTAAGTAAGAAAAGTACTCTTAGTTAAAAGTTCTAACTCTAACCGTTTTGGAGATAACAAAGATTTTGTGATAAAAACACTAAACTCCAAGAAGTTTGAGTATATCTTCATTCAGCAACCTATAACATCTACGGTACTCACGCAATAATATTTTTGAGTACATTTTTGAACTCCTTAATGTATTTTGCGAAGAAAAGGTGCTATTAGTGAAAGCTGTAAGAGCAACCGTTCTCAAGATAAAAAAGGCTGTTGTAAATTCTAATGAGCTTAGGTTATTAATTAAATTAAGTAGTGCTTTAAATTTTGCAGATTTACCTTTATAAACGATTAGGATGTCATCGACATAACGTGCATAGAAAACAATGTCACTTACAAAAAGTTTATATTGTTTATCTTTAAATAGTTCTTTTTCTATGTGGTTTTTTTACAGAGAATTAATTTTTACGTTTATAAAATTCTTTTTGGTGGTTTATTTATACACGTGGTCTTTCCAAAAAAGTTTTTAACGATGATTAAGTCCCCATTTTTGGTAGCACACTGCTCTGATCTAATATTTTTCAATTATTTTACAGAAATACTTCGAAGATATTTAGTTAAATTTTAAGCAATTATTTCTACAAAAATTAACGCTTCCTTCAGGTATACATTTTGAGTTTGGTGTAATTTATTAAAAAATTTCATCGCCATCGCATTCACACTTTTCTGGCATTTTGTTAATCGTGTATATTTGGGTATCAGATCGCTATTTTTCCTAGTATCATAGTTATGCACTTGCTTATACGTGTAAAACTTATTAATGTTCTTTTTAACATATGTAACACATTCGAGAATGTAGAGAGACGGTAGAGTTAATATTTGTAAATCAATATAGGAGCTTCTACAGTCGTCTCTATAATTTAAATTTCCTAATACCCGTATAGCCCTTCTCTGCATTCTAAATACGCGTTCAAAACCAGCAGCAGAGCCCCAGACTAACAATGCATAAGTCATTGAGGACTGACACAGCGCAAAGTATGCTGTGCGTAAAACCGGTGGAGATACGTTCGAGCGCAGGTTTCGCAACAAATAGATGCTGCCACTTAATTTACTACATAATGTCAAAATATGTTCCTCCCAGCAAAGCCCGGAATCAAGATAATCGCCCAAAAACTTTACAGCAGAAAGAGACTGTATGTTAGGGCACCGTCTCAATGTAAACGTAGCGAAAGCCGTTTTATCTGAATTTAACTTTAGTTTGTTACTAGCAAAAAAACGCTCAGCCTGCCTTAGAGAAATAGCTCTACTCTCAAAAACCTGAGTCAGCAAAAAAAAACCAGAATCAGCAAGTACCTGATCATTGTAATTAATTTTTGATTGTATAATGCGTTTATTACATATCTGAAGGAGTCTATTTCTTTGCAGCTTTATATTATCATTTTTTGTGACTTCATATACAGTAGTTAATACATTCAAATTTGCACGAATTTCTTTTAATTCTGAATTTAATCATCCCTGCGATAGATTATTATAAGCTATTATAAGCATCCATCACTCTCTCCAAAAATATATCGAATTTTTCAGTGGCTTGCAATCGTGCATCCGAAACAAAACTCCAGTCAACATTAGAAACGCTCTCAAAAAACTTAACTTTACCATTTTGGGTAATTGGCCTAATTGTGACAAAAGTATCGTCAAGCAAAGGATCAACAAAAGCATACGTCAATGTTAAGCTTTTGTGGTCTGAAAATTGTTGCTTACCATTACATTAACATTTGTATTCCCAAAATTTACGAAAATGTTGTCCAAGCAATTTTTACCACGAGTAGCAGCATACACCATCTGCTCGAAACCGAAAGTTCTTAGGCAAATCAAGCAAAATATTATTAAATATTATTAAAAACAACAAAATTACAAAACTAGAAACAAATTACAAATTGCAAAGCAAAGCCTGCTTAGTACAATTTATTAACCAGTACTACTCAAACTTGAGAACCTTTAACTATATCGTATCATATCTTAAGAAGTGCAAAGAATGGGACATTGTGTTTAAGAATTTTTTATTCAGAAAGAGGAGACCTATAACCCTTCAAATTTTTTTTACTCATACCTGATACATCCTGTATATATATTTACAAGATTTGAGTTGCTTGAGGTATTAAATATAGCTTCAATCTGACAAGTTATGACAAAGGATCTTCATGGCTGAGATTGCTATCGTCGTTGGTCCCTTTGTTCATCTTCAGACGTCGATGTGGGCCAGAAAACACTTTCACTCCTACGTATAGCGCCTTGACACCTTTTGATGGTGCATTGAACCTCAAGTTCAAAGAATCACTTTATGTGGTAAAGCTATGCCATTTTTAGATAATTAAGATTTTTGTAGGATTTCAATATCAAGTTGTTGAGTGCAGTTTTTATAGCAGGATGTATTAAGAGGTAAGCGATGATTCCAGTACCAAGCAAAATACTTTTAAACTCTAACTGAAATAGTAAAATAAATGGGTGTTAAAGTGGCTAATTAACGACACAAAGC